TTTGTATACTCTTGGAAGTCAAGCTTCCTCTGTGCAAGGTGTCGTGTGACCCGTCACATTGATCGTGCAAGGATTTGCCTGCAAGCCCTCCTTCCCATTGAACACCCCAAGAAAGGGATTATGTCGGCGCTGCAAACTGTCTACATTGGCGATTAGCTAAACTGCGCTCTCACAGCTAAGCACCACTGGCAAGCGTTTAACGTGCTTCTTCACATCCGACCTTCGCTGTTATGCACGTCTATGGACGATCATATTATCAAAATAGGCTTATGTACAGTGGATAGCTGTAACACTAGACGACCTAAGTCGCTGGTTTATTGGACTATCCCAACGGCATTACCAGGCACTTTAAATCCCACTCACCGCACCGAGTGGGTTTTTTTATCAGTGGCTGATAGTTTTCACCAACTATGTCAACGATACTGAACAAAGTGCAGCTGACCAAGCTTTGTTGAAGTATACTCTGTAGTGATCAGCATTTCCATCTATTTAGTTGCTGCACGTAGCTTACTATTATTTGCTTAACCTTTTTGACACACACGCTGGCGCCAAGTGGACTTTCACCAAACCTGATTGAATTTTCGATTGAAAGAAATCACTTTCGTCCCCAAATCAAAGAGCTATGGAAATGTGACGCAAACTTTGGCTCCGGTAACTAAGTCAAATCCTCGAATTCGGGTGTAAGCGTGTTGTGGGTCTCTTGTCACCACGTCATGATGTTCGTTCAGCAAATTGTCAAGTGATTCGTATGATTCTTGAGAGTAGAAAAATCACGCCTCGAGGTCTTCATCGTCGGAAGGTCTCATGTCCTGCTCGGAGCTATCGCAGCTATGTGCCCGTGCCAAAGCGCTACTGCTCGCTAGCAGGGAACATGACTTGTTAAACCTCCACCGGAGGAAGAATGCGTGGCATCTTATGTGCTCAACTTTCAGTCCGCCTATGGTTTGAAGGGCTCTAACAATACCACATCACGAGCGGAATCTTACTCTCGATACAGTTTCAGGACAAGATTTTATTTGTCGATTTATTAAACTTCAATTGAAATTCGAAAGAGCCTTCGGTACAATTTTCAGTTTTCCCGTTGCAAGACGCACAGATATCTTATCTGTATACGACGCCTTCGTAACTTCTATACAGCGGGGCTGCCGTAGCTTAGCGCTTGAGGAAGCGCACTTTAGGTCACCGACCTTCTGTTCTTTACAAGAACCAAGTATGAGTTAGCGAATCACAATCCACTTACTCCAAGAGCAATTATTGCCTTCCCAAGGCTAATTGGCTCTTCGGTTTTAAATTCAAAACTGATTTTTACTTTTTATCCTAATTTTAAAAGTTTAGATTTTCTTAAATATATATAGTAAAATCTAAATTCATGCTTAACTACTGGCTACCTAGCCCCGTACCTTAGTCTTGTTTGGGTGTGGTCACACCATGGACATCTCGTGTGACACACACTCCTGTTACCAGGGTACATGTAACCCCGTTACACTCTGTGCAATACCTGGTTGTTTAGCGTACTACCAAATTGATGTGGATTGACGATGTATGGAAATGTTTGTATGACAGCCAGAAAATCATACATGAGACCAAATATGTGCTGGAATGTGCGTGTACTGCGCTACGGTAAAACGTACACTTAGAACTGTAATCGTGCAAAACTAATGCATTCCAGAGTATTGGTACAGAAGAGGACAGTGGGACTCCGTAACGGGAGTGGACCGAGGGGCACATGGGCTGTTAGGCTTCCACCAGTGTTTGACATGGTCTAACAGATTGAAGTACTAGTCTTATTAAGTTAAAAGTCATGAATATATGTCACATTTCAGTTAAATTGAGCGAGGAAGTGCTGAGAGCCTCTACGGAAAACAACAATATTCACTTTATTCTAAAAGTAAGGCTCATAATAAAGTTGCCTTTATTTTATAACTCTTTGGTACTTATAAATATTAACATTTCCACCGGTGTAATGTGAATGCCGTTTATTTGTATTTATTTCATGGGATGCTAATTTTGATCACCTTTTTCGAATCTCATTCTATAAGCGATATGCACAAATTTTTGTGCTTGAGAAATGTGCTAAACGAAGCGAGATTTTTATAGCGCAATGCATGCACGATTAGCTCTCTATTCATAGGCTTAATATGTCATGATCATCGTAAGAGTCCCTTTCAAAGTCAAAAGCCATGGCGAGTTACTTCTTCATACTTTTATTATTCATTAGTTACTTAACTCCCTCTAGTTCCCTTAACTTCAATCGCACACATTGAATAAATTGATGAGTACTACAGAACTTAAAATAAGCATCTTTGTATATACCAAACCATTAAAATACCATGTAAAAGATTTTTCATACGTAGTGTAAGCAATAAGCTTAATCAAGGGTCGTAGATGCTGGTTCTGGAGAACATAACCTAAATCATCCGGAGAGTTATTAATCTTCATTAGTTTGTGAAATCTGGTGCAACGTGGCGCTCATGTCTAGTGTTGGCAATGGCAAGACGTTTGTCTCATGTGCTACATCAAATTTAATGTCTTTAGCGTCATCCAATCCCAGTGAGACCGCTCTTCTTTTATTGTTTAAACAAAACATAATTAGATTGTACTAAAAATTAGAAAAGCTTAATGTTGTAGTACGCACTCACCTTGATTTGGTTTTCGCATGAACATGTTTATGCAAGCTCTTCGCCTTATACGACGAAATTGTGCCGTCGTCGTACACAGGAGAAGCCAATAGAGTACTCGGACAATCCGTGGGTGAAAAATTTCGTAACTCCATCAACTCACCAATCGTGTACTGTAACTTTTCAAGTGGGTTATCGTTAGTGTCTTCGTCATTATCTGGTGGTTGGTCCACTTGTATTTGAGTCTTGAGCAATGTGGCTGGTGGATAAGCTGCTTTCAACATCCGTTCCTCGCAATTTATAATCGAATTATCGACGAGATCCGAAGGCCTAGCAGAATCTGAATGTGTTTTTGCCGATGGTGATGCTTTAGTGCTCAACTCAAGGCTCCCATTGTCGCCATTTTGTTCAATAACATTTGTACGAGTCTTTCCCGCCAGAAATTCTCCTAGTGAACCAAGTTCCACCCGCTCGTATCGAACGCGATCCATTATCTCTATTGTCTTTTGTGCTGTGTGCTTCTTTTTATTGCTTGCAAAATCAGCATCCAACGATTCTGTTATTTCCTTTTCACGCACAACAGCTTCAAGATCATCGCCCTTTACTGCAGAGGATGTAGCTGTCTTCCTATTCACTGCAACAGCTTTCTTGTTGTCTTTCATCCGAGCTAATTGTTCTGCAGCTGCAGCACCATAATAATCCTCGAAACATCTTCTGCAGTAATAACATCCATCATTTTCGTCCAAAATCAATTCATCAGCAACATTTGTACAAGTTGAGCATGGTATCGTCTTAATTGCTTCACTTTGATCCTTCCTCCGCTGTAGCTTCTCAATGCGTTGTTGCGCTTGTCTTCTCAGTGCCTCAGCTCGCATCACACCATGATACAACACGCGATACTCTGTCAAGACCTCATGAAGTGAGCATTGCTCCACAATCTTCAGCGCATAGTCAAGATTTGCTACGGCCTCTTCTAATAGTTTTACCTTCTCAAGACTCGACACCTTCGACTGCATTGCAATTCGTGCACAAGCGTCGCCAATGTCCATCGTAAGTACAAACATTCCGGCATAGTCTTGCAATGCATATGCACCATTTAGTGCTGCCTTCCATGTCTCCATAGCAAGCGTATACAGCCCTTCATTGGCTAATACACGGCCCTGGCGAATAGCATGACGCGTTTCTTCCATTGGACAAATGACAAACTTTTTGAAGGTGGTAAATTACTTTTAAGTCAAATAAATTGCTATAAATTATGGTGTGGAAAGACCCTGTCGAGAGATTCCTCGAGCTCTTGCGTCTACGCACTGTCAGCGTTGAGGGACCAAGTGGTAGTTACAATGAGGTAATCAAAAATTGTTCATTATTGACTTTGTTGTGATGCTGAAATGAGTTTGTTTTAGTGTGCCCAGTGGCTACGAAGTTATTTGGAAGAGCGTAAGCTGATTTGACTTGAATGGTATCAATAGACATTTTATAAATATCGACACTGTGATAGTTGAGCTTATGGTACAGGTTTTCTTGCCTGTTGAGAATAAGCCAGTCGTCCTGGTATTTTATCACGTTTCAAACCATAATCGTGCTGAATTTTCAGTGTTGACGGCTTATTTCTTTTAGGCAACATGGAAAGGTGAAGACTCATCACTTCCAGGGATTCTATTAAATTCTCATTATGACGTCGTGCCAGCTATGGCAGAGCATTGGCAGTATGATCCCTTTGACGTATGATTAAGCTCATTTTCTTGACTATTCTGTGCTCTGAACCAATGTTTTTGATCACAACTAGGCTCAAGTGCTCGAAGACGGACGTATTTATGGTCGAGGGGCACAGGATATGAAGAGTGTGTGCATTCAGTATGTGGAAGCAGTCCACGTTTTAAAAACTTCAGGCTTTCAACCCAAGCGCAACATTTACCTTCTCTTTGTTCCGGACGAAGAAGTTGGAGGGGTCGATGGAATGAGCAAATTCTTGGAAAGCGAGCTATTTCATTCGATTTCACCGGTCGCAATTGCATTCGATGAGGGATTAGCAAATACAGGTGATGCATTTACGGTCTTTTATGGAGAAAGATCTCCTTGGTGGGTGTATGTTAAAGCTCAAGGTCCAACTGGCCATGGCAGTCGATTTGTTCAAAATACTGCCACGATGAAGCTCATTAATGTTTGCAACAAAGCTTTAGCTTTTCGTGACGAACAAGAAAATGCACTTGGGACAGACCTTGGATGCAAACACGGGGATATGAGGAAAAAGAAACTTGGTGATGTCACAACGATCAATATTACGGCCTTACAGAGTGGGGTATCTCAAGATGGAGGAAAAACACACGCTCTTAACGTGATTCCGACCGAAGCTATCGCTGGTTTTGATATCCGTGTGTCGCCTGAGATGGAATTAAGTGCGATGAAAACAAAACTGGACGAATGGTGCACTGCTGAAGGACTTTCATGGGAATTTGCTTCGTGGACGGATCCACTGCACGATCATTACGTCACTTCATTGGATGCTGACAATGTGTGGTGGCAGCTTTTTCAAAAGGCTTGTGCGCAGATGGGAGAAAAACTCGAAACAGAAATCTTTCCAGCGGCTACTGATAGTCGCTTTCTGCGCAAGGTGGGCGTTCCTGCCATTGGCTTTTCGCCAATGAAACTCACTGAGATTTTACTTCATGAACACAATGAGAGTCTTGCTAAACATACGTTTTTGCACGGCATTAATGTGTACGTGGGTGTGTTTCGAGAGATGTTCGCATACAAGTAACATTCACTAGCTGCATAAATAAGAGCCTACACTCTGTACGACGTAAGAAAACTTTATGAATAGATGTAGTTTTTAGCTAAAGTCACACCTGATCGAGGTGCACTCAAGCACAAAGCAAACGCTACTATCATTCATCTCTCTAAGTCTTCCATCTGGCTACGCCTTGATTTTAAGAATGCCTTCATGTCTATGCTTTGCTTTTAAGAGTAGCAAGATACATCTCAAGCGACTTCTGCACCTTATCCGTCTGTGCAAAATCGGTAAATGCCTCCAGATCCTTCTCACGAGTAGCAATTAGCCGGTCTGCCGTCTCCTGTCGCATTTGTAGTTTTGTCTTTACCCGCGCCATATCTGATGAATGTCCACAATATTAGATTAGCTTCAACAAGTGTATTTGGTTACGTACCTGGAATGGCAAGCCACTTGGCCATTGCACCTTCAGCACGCGGAAACACTTCTTCAAAAGCCACGGCTTCATCAACCAAACCAATCGCTTTCGCCTTGTTTGCGTCCACTTGCAATCCAAGTCCAAGCATTTTCTCGGCTTCTCGATGACCAATAGTATTAACGAATGTGTCACGGAACCAAGATGGAGCCACGATGCCCAACTGGGTCTCGTTAAGGCCAATCATAGGCTTGCCGCTTGTCATAATACGATAGTCACAACACATGGCCAATAAACAGCCTCCAGCTGGACTATGACCTTCAATGGCAGCAACAGCAGCAAGACGTGTCGTATATAGACGGAGGTAGAGATCTTGAAGCGACGTCCAAAATGTACTCATTTTGGCTAGCTGCATCGAAAATAGTTCAATTTGTATTCGCAGTATATACTACACAAAGATAATTGATTTCTACCTGAGGTCTATACATTTCCATAAGGTCCAGGCCGGCGGAAAATATCTTTGGGTTCGAAGATGCTAAGATGACGCCACTATATTAAATACAGCAAACAAATATGAATGATAAATAGTCACAAATTAATCCTGTAGTAAGTCGTACCGCACGCTCTTGTCATCCTCAAGTTTCTTAATAGTCGCATCAAGTTCTTTGAGCAGCTAATAACATGTGCAATTGCTTAGACAAACGACTTTACACCGCTAATGTCTAGCAAAACGTACCGGCGTGTTAAGCGAATTGACAGGTGGGCGATTCATGCGTACAATCGCATACTTGTCCTTCTTCTCCACCAGAACTAGAGGATCAGTCGCTGAAGAAGAGAAACGTGCTGTCTGGAAGCCCAGACGTGGTATACGAAGCAGAGTAGACTTCATGATATCTCGGTATGTGCGTACGAGTAAGCAAATTCCAACGTGAAAACAGCTTCAACTGCTTTCCAAGCTGAAAATAGCAAAGAATATCACGTATTTGACCAATCAAAATCATTAAAAATAGCCAATAAGTGGTGTTTATAGTTCTGGCAGTTCTGTATTTTATCCAATTATAAAAGTTTGGTGCGGCTCGACGTACAATTTGACAAACACGTAGCAAATTTAACAGTTCGAATAATATATAGTTTATGTAGTGCACTCTTGTTACGGTGTTGCCACAACATTGTGTAGATACACCATCTTGTGTGACCCACCGTTTCATACAAAGGGCACGTATAACTCCGTTACACTTTTCCCCATCAAAATTGTGAGAACTCACAATTCACATTTAATTGTCGCCTCGTACAAGGTACGTCCCTAAGACCATCTTCACGCATTCTCTGATCAGTGAGCCCTGTCTCTTGACAAGAAAAACACCCAGCCTCGCTGGTTCCAAGGGCGCCCGAGGGCAGAGCCCTTCTTCGTCTCCTGCACGCGGTGCAACATCGGAAGCACGTCCGCGGCTTCAAGGGAAGCGCATCATAAGCCCTCGGCAACCGGGCTCCACACACCGCGCCCGCCACGGGCGACGAAATCCATCGTCGATGATTCGGAGGAAGTCGACTACGAGTCGGATACTCCTTTCCCAGGATGGGGAGAAGAGGAGGACGAGGTGCGCCAACGGCACGATGAAAGCCCTGCTCGACACTGTGTTCGTTTCCCAATCTCTCGACTTCCGAGGGGAAGCGGTATTATTACAAATCACCTCGACGAGGTACAGGAGCAGCAGTTGGAGGCTGCCCATAGAGCGGCTCTCATGCGCCCGCTATCATGGTCGGTTCCGGACCTTGTTGTGGATTACGGCTACCGCTCAGCGGATCCCGCTACTGAAGCGAAAGACGCAATCACTCGATCGTTATGCGTCTACGTAGTCGGGCCCCCGGCCACTACACAGTTTGAGCTTGACAAACAAAAAGCTTTCCGAGCTAGCTTCTTGGTACCTCAAAAAATCCAATGGATAGGTATTGCGCTCTACTTGGCGCTCAACGAGTAGCGCTCCTGTACCCGCTTGCGGACTGTTTCTGTGGTGCTCGCCCCAGGTGAAACCGCTTCAGATGATGAATGGGTGCAGCGGCGCCGGAAACTTTCTCCGCTGTCTACCGTACAGCAAAGCCACAAGGCAGCGGACGTATGTTAGAACGCCATCTTCGGTTACATTTTGCCAAACTCAAGGTGCCACGCCGACTTCCTTCATATTGTCACCCTGCGACGTATGGATTAATCAATCACGCTCCAGCGAACTCTGCGATCTCTCACACGGGTGAGTTTAGGACCACAGCAGATCATGGCCATACCTTGAACTCAGCTCATGGCCCTTCGGTTTCCCCGAAAATTACCGTGAAGCGTGAAGCGTACGACGACACAGAGCGTTATGATCCCTCTGGTCATCAGCGTCCAAGACGTCTGGGCAGCCTTCCGAAGTGGCACCTCAAACTCCCACGAGTTCTCGGAGTTTGGGTATACCCACCACTTCTCAGGAACTGGGTTTGACCCTGTCGACGACGTTGACCCACAACGCGTTCCATTTGGTAGTGGACGTCACCATTACCATCGAGAAGAATCGTTGGCGAACGATGAAGACTTGGTCGATTGCCGCCCGGTGACTCGTGATGCTCTTCATGCTCCTGAGGACAAGGTCTGTCGGCATCAACACTTCGCTGAGCATCTCTTCGAGGTCACCTATCGCTGTGCGGAAGACCTCGAAAGCTCGGAGCACTTTGTGCACCGACTGCCGCATGTTGAGGACTATCGCGCACTGTCGGAGCGACTCCTTACGGTTGAGCAGGCGAATACGTCACTTCATACGACGGTAAAGGGCCTTGCGTCATTGGAAACGAAAATTGTTGCCATCCGTGCTCAGAACCAGTTGCTGGTTCAACTTCTGGGTGGTCGAGCGCCTATGGGTGCCGCCCCGACGCAAACGCTTCCGCGTTCACTTGCGCCGAATCCCGGTACGGCTTAAGCAAGCCCTCATAAAACACCGGGTGGGTGCGCATCCTACTCAGAAGGTTCAGCGTATGCGCAAGGCCTTGCTTAGCCACGACCTTAAAAGGTCCAATAAACCGTGAATGGAGCTTTGTCTTGAAGACTGCAGAGACTGCATGTGTGGGCAGGTTTTTAGCATTTTATTAAAACCAGGTCTCTGACCGCAATGTTTTCAGCATTTCTTCTGCTTCTTCCGTTTGCATATTCTTTCTGCATGTCTTGGCTTTCAGCCATCGTATCACGAACGTATTGTAAGACGCTCAGCTGGTAGACAGGAAGCCATCGCCTTTTTTACGCACGGTGAGGGGCTGACATCAGCTAGTAGCTCGGCTATTCCTCCCCACCAAGCCCTGAGCCATGGAATGGCGGCGTCAGCGGGACGCGAGGATGAACGAGCCCATTGACATCGAATGGCGTGAAGCCGGTAGACGCTTGTAGTGCATTGTTCAAAGCGAACTCCACAAGTGGCAGCATGGCGCTCTACCGCCTCGGCGTCTCAGCGCAGCCGTTGCCAAGAACGTTTTCCACGACGCAATTCACCACTCAGTTTGACCATCGGTTAGCGTATGTTCCGCTGTTGACACGATTCACAAACTGCATCACTGTAGTGACACCGTCGAAGGGTCCGGTACCGCCGAACAAACAGCATCACTGTATTGACACCGTCGAAGGTGCCCGGTACCGCCGAAAGATGAACCATCTTGCTCAAACGGTCGACAAATTCCACCATACTCGTGTTGCCCGTCGAATCCTTCGGCAGGCCAACAACAAAGTTCATACTCATGGACTGCCAACACCCGAAGCGTATCGGAAAATTGGACTGCGGCACCGCCGCACTCGAAGAGGGTTCACCCTTTGACATATCTCACACATGCGCACATATGTGCTCGTCCATTTGTACAGCTTGAATCATAATATAGGCAACTCAAAGAGTTGTAGGTCTTCTCACGACCAAGATGGCCACTAAGTGGAGTGTCGTGGGCCTCATAGAGGATACGGTACTACAAATCCTAATCGTGAGGAATCCCAATTTGTGGCATATCCGTCGAATCGGTGCTATAATACAGCAAATCGCTATTCAACGAATATCGGTGCAACCCTGCGCGCAACCGCGACGACAACTTCTTGTCTGACTTTCCAGACTCCATTTTCCCGGGAGCCTGTAGCATCGCTACACACATACTGTCAGCCGCGTATGCGGCGCGGATCAAATTCTTCACTGACGACGTCACCGTCGTGACATGAGCAAGCTCATGATCCGGTCTGCGTGACAACGCATCAGCTAAAGCATTCTGCTTTCCTGGCTTAATACTCACCTCGAAGTCATGTTCTTCGAAGAATGAGAGCCATCTGGTCATCCTCTTCGAGAGGTGAGGCGACTGAGTCGCAGTGCGTTGTGAAGCATGATCTGTGTAGATCACAAACGGTCCTTGAGGTGAGCAGGCGCACCCTGAACTTGACAAATGCATACTTTATCGAAAGAGATTCCTTGTTCTGGATATTTCTTCTCCGCAGCCTTAAGCTGGCGAGATTCAAACGCGCTCACCCGATCTCGCCCCTCGGCGTCTGCTTGCAGCAGTGCACAGCTAATGGCAAAGTCCGAAGCGTCACAGACGACACTAAAAGGATTTGTGCATGATGGAGGATGTCTTTGACCCTGTCAGCCTACTCCCGATGCTCGGTGTCCCAACACCATTCCGCATCCTTACTAAGGAGATTCGCCAATGGTCGTGCCTTTTCAGCATAATTCGCGCTATACTTGTGCACGTAGTTGGCGAGGCCAGGCCACTTGCGCAAGTCCTTTTGGCTCATTGAAGCCGGCCAATTCACAATGGCCTTGACCTTAGCGGGATCCGCTCGAAGGCCACGCTTCCCGATGAAGTACCCTAGAAAGGGGATTTCTTCAGCGCCGAAGATGCACCTATCTGTACTGATATACAACTTATTCGTGCGCATGCACTCGAGCACCGCTCTCAAATCGACGATGTGGTTTTTCTCATCTGTCATCCCGTGCCCCGCACGACTGTGGACGAAGATGTCGTCGAAGTATTTCTGTGCATACGCCCGATGGAGTCTGGACAACTGCGCCACAAGACGATTAAATGTTGCCGGTGCATTTGACAGCCATTGAGGCATCACCAGCCACTCCTAGAGCATCCCGCTCGGAGTACTCACCGCTGTCAGCGGAAATTTACTCACACTCATGAGCAAGTGGTAATACCCATCGACCAAGTCGAGTGCACTTTTTTGTACAGTCAATCATCTTGTTCTGGAGAACATCCTTCCTAGGAATCGGTGTCTGTGCCGGAATGGTGGCAGCGTATAGCTTATTATAATCGTGATACGCCACTTGCCGTTCGGCTTCCGAAAACAAAATGTAGGTGTCGAATGGGGAGACTTGCTCTCACGCACCATTTCTGCGTCTTGCTTCGCACGGAAAAAGGCGTCAATGACGTCACACTACTCCTTGAGCAAGGCCCATTGCCGTGTGACGCAGTATTTGGCTCCCGGAACCAGGTCAATCTCATGACACACACCTCGGTCCAGAGGTAGGACTGACGGCGGGTCTTTGGAGACGACGTCTTACAACTCCTATACCAAAGGGAAGTATGAATTTGAGGGGTCATATAGGATCGACAATCCATTTCGCGCGTTCAGCACTCTCTTGGTGTAGCTCTATCTTGAAGCAACGACGGATTAATCTCTTGTTCGGTCGTATAATGACCACCTCAGCTAAATTGCCTGCCTTCAAGGCATGCCAAACTCATCGAAGGAGATATAGTCCATCTCGAGAAGAGCATCCATCGCAGAATAAGCCTCAATGGTGACATCGCCATCTTCCTTCCCCGTCATACCGTTGACGAGGGTGTAAAGCTGTGCGCTATCATCTACGGTAGACACACCCTGGGTCAAGGTCGACATCCTGCGTCTTGCAGATAATATACGGCGTTGCCGCTGCCCTCCCCAGATGTTCTACGGTTCGACGAGACCAGTGGGAGCACATATTCAGCGCCATCCAGTGTCCCAACTCCTGCTCCACCGGAGCCTTGATGTTATTAACAACATCCGACGAATAGCTGCTGGTTCCGCATTCTTCTTCCAGTGGGTAACGGGCCACTCCACGCGCAACTGAGGGGCCTTGCCTAAGATGCCTCGAACCTCGTCCAACCATGCCACTCTTGGCATGCAGCAACTGCATTGAACCGTGAGCTCGGTGATTTACGTGCCACTCCACTGGGGCTTCGCCCTCGATACCTCGGCAGCCGGCCGACCATGCCAATCTTGGCATGCAGCAACTGATCCGAAACGTGAGCAGTGTTCAGTGGGTTACGTGTCATTCCACGTTCAACCCGCGAGCCATGCTCGGGACTCCTGCCCGATACACCTTCGGTGTTCACCGACTCGAATACTCCGATCCCCAGCACGTTGAGTGTCTCGGTTCAGTGACCGCGCCAATAGCCATTTTGCCTCCTAGCAGAGGTGGATACATGACTCACCAAAGCTTCACCAGGAGACGTGCGTGTAGCGCCCAAGGTCTTCGACCTTCATTCGACCCATGGCTCGTGGTGTTCCAGCCATGTCATATTAAAGATGAGGTCATACCGCGAATCCAGTTCTATGACCAAGCAGCGTTTCACGCTATCAAAGTCAAGAAACTGGACACCGAGGTCGACAGCGACCTTCGACACCGTAAACATGTCCCCGTCGCTAAGCAAGTAGTTACGATGTCACTCAACCGCACCTTCAGCACCTCAGCATTCAGCTGACTTCCTTCTATCGTGGAGCGTCGAGCATAATTGCCCGACGCCCCGGAGCCGATCAGAATCTCCCATGGTTTTCAAAGCCCTTCACAGTCGCTTTCACGACCAGCAATCCCGGCTCGCATACACGTACCGTGTTCAAAAGCACGGTAGTTTTGAGAGCTGAGTCCTGCTACCCTCTACCTCTTTGAGGCTCAACAGAGCTCAGTTCTCCCCCAGTAGGGCGCCTCGCGCCTGCCGGGTGTTGCAGTTTACTCACGACAAACCAGACTGATGTAAAGCGGGACGCGGTTTGATGAGCCTTGACGCGCCTTGGGCAGGGGACAACCAGTCCGAAGTTGACGGGTGTCGCCACAGACAAA